ACTAACGGACTTACGCAGTCTCGGTCAGGGCTTTCTTTGAGGTCATTAGGCCTTGATGATCAGAGCCTAACTTTAAAGACTTACGCAGTCTCGGTCAGGGCTTTCTTTGAGGTCATTAGGCGTTGATGATCAGAGCCTAACTTTAACAAATTTAGGACCGGTATTGCGTATAGACGCTAACACACACGCATACACTCGAGCAAAAGTAGCAGGACAAGCGATTAAGGACCGGTATTATGTATAGATGCTAACACACACACGCATACACTCGAGCAAAAGTAGCAGAACAAGTATGAAAGATAATTATCCAAACCACTCTATATCCATGTAGGTTTTTATTTTTTAATTTTTTTTGGCGTAACTGAGTCTATATAAGAGGTAAGAAAGAGCCGGATAGTCCTCTAGGCCTAGTGTTAACGAAAGCCTTCTACAAGAATGACACCCAGCTCTGATGATGTCCATCATATGATGGACGAAAGCTCAACACGTTTTCACCCGAAACGAGGGAGGAAATCCCGTGGACTGCGTCAACATGAATATCGTATAAAATCCAACCGGCTGCAGTACAACAAGTTTCATCCATCCTCATCTGGTGAGATCGACCAACGAATCTCTTCTTCAGCAACTTTCATACGAAATGAAGGTCTCCCTCATAATGTAATCACAGGAGATTCATCAAAACCAAGTTTCTCTTAGTAGTTTTAATTAATCTTATTCGTTGATTTATGGGCTTAAACTTGTTTGTCTACAGTAGAGCTTTGAAAGCACAATTTTATATGTCTTCATCGCTGTGATAATAGAAGTTTATCAATCATTCTGGGAACAACGAAAACAGATTTATGGTTTTAGTGGCAAAGATACTATTGCTGGTGGGTATAAACACTTATCATGATATCTTGATTAGTATAAAGATAAAATATTTTTTGATTAGTTATACTTTCTGCTTTATCATACGTAAGCTCGTTTTAATAGCCTATCATCTTGAACGATTTGGTTGCAAAATTTTGCTTTAATGCTTCATAATGCATGCTCATTTAGCCATCTTGGTACGCATTACTTCGTCAGCATATAGACGCACCTCGTTATTTTGTAGGTCAGTGGAAGACAAGAGGCTGGCATATACGAGGACCCCACCTCTCTTGAGTCTGCGCCTGCTGTTTCTGTGGGCGGTCCGAGGTTGCTTCTTACCACTCGATCACACTATCCGCCCTCAGAAACACTTTACACAGCCGACGCGAACAGTCGACCAGCAGCTGCTGTATCTACTTTCTCTTGCCTAACTTCGGCCTCTCCCACCACATTTAACTCCTCACCTTCCTCAGCCTCTTCCCCTGCAAATATTTACTCTGCTGTTCACACTCATCCTGAACACTCCCGGCCGCATGCTTCCGTCCGACCTATTCCTAGCCAACAGCCAAATCTCCACCAGTATACTACCAGTAATCCTCTGCTTCAGGAGAGACCAGAGTCCAATCAGCCTCCACAATGTGGACCCTTATCTCCAGGCGACGTAAAGGCCATATACACTCGAGTCAACAAGTCAGCGTTTTGTGCAGGTGGCGTCGGCCCTGTGGGCTGCTCCAGGCCTTTGGCCAATGGAAACTTGACAGAAACAGAAGCTGCAATTAAGGCTGGCGGTTCCTCCATTGCCGTCGGGAGCGGCGAAAGGCGTCAGCTGAACTGGGCAGATTCGATAATACAGACACGGACTCAGGCCCAGCAGGCTTCGTTGCCTTGCGGAACCACAAGAGGTAGCCTGACTCCATCCTGATCGGCAATACACTTTGCTTTAGCTCCTTTAATTTTTACATGAACTCTAAAACTTCAAGCGATCTTTGCGTTTATATTGCTTTCTATTTTTTGGCCTTCATCATTGCTTCCTTCTCATTTTAATCTATTTCCTTCTAGCATTAGAGTTAGGCTGTAGAAACAAAGGCAACGTTGACGACTGGTGTTGCCACCATCTTTTCACATGAAAAGTTGTTTAGCCTTCCTAGTCTGGAACTCGGACTCTTGTTTGCTGAGTTTGGTATAGAAAGCCAAATTTCGGTTGGAAAAGTGGTACTTCTAGCATGGTTGGTATCCTTAAATGCAACTGAATATATGAAGACCAAGATGTTGTGGCCTCTGGTGTGGTCGCAGTCTCCTTTCGATTGATAGAAG